CGGAGCCGACTCGCTGTCGTTCGTAATCTCTGGCTGAAGTAGAGGAACCCTCTGTCTCAGGGGTCCTTATCAGTGCAAGAGGCCATCTTACGGACATTTCAGATCATAGCCCTATGGACGGGAGGCCTTAATGTAACCTACATTCAGTCCTTCAGACCCTTCAGCTATCCCATTGAGCTTTTGTTCTTTGGTCTCTGGAGACCATTCGGCCCCTCTTCGGACCCCATAAACCCTCTCTCCGACTCGGTGCCACTTGCCGCCACAGAACTCCTGTTAAGCACTATGACCTGTTACCGACCTTGGAGCCCTCTCAGGCCCATACCGACACGGAGCCGACTGTGCGGACTGGTGGTACCTGACCGGCATATATACCCACAGCGACTCAAGGGGTCCCCGATCAGCGTAAAAGGCCCTGCCCTGCAGGTCGGGGCCCCTAAATGGAGCCTCCGGCCGGCCTTCCGCGCCCGTAATCGTAGGCTCGAGAGGACCGAAGGGCCCGTCAGAACCTAAGAGGGCGCAACGTAACCCTGTTGCCCCCCCCCCCCCCCCGTCTGTGCTACTGTATGCTAGGCAAGGGGAGGGGTCTGCCACACTCACTGTTTCTGTGGCATAAATAACAGGGAATCTTCAAAACCATTCCTCTTTTTAGTAGGTTTTAAATATAAGCCCATTGACTGGCAGAAAGGAGGTACATTTTGATTCCCCCAATTGGTTTTGGTATGTAGAATGCACTTAAAGATAAAGTTCAACAAGCTGCACATTAAAATATGCCTTTTCTGGTGCAAGTCATGTTGGGGAGACAGTCTGGGCCACTTATCTTTTTGTGGCAGATAAGTGTAGGCTTTTCTGCGTCTGGAAGATTGGATGTCATATTTAGTTGGTGACTAGTGTGAGTTGTGAATAGAAAGCTAGCTACTAACATACCGTGGTCGTGACGCAGATGGGGTACAACCCAATGATTGCATAGTGCTTGTTCAACAACATGTGTAGTGTGGATGGCTGTGAATTGGGCATGGGTTTGAATATCTAAATTCTAGACATTTGTTCTTGCATCATGTGAAGGTGTTCAGCTCACTGCAATTGCTATATACGATAGAGGAGATTGCCACATCGGGCCTCAATATTGGAATAGCATCATTGTGAAATTCATTTATTTTATTTTTGGAAAAGACACTGGAATAGGCCAAATGTCACAATAGTTTGTTGTGACAACATTGAGCAACTTCCACGATGATCTTGGTTTATGTAACTTTTGGCGGATTAACACAGAAAATGAAGACAGAGTATTTGCAGTGCGTGAGATTTCCTTTCCATTCTCAGAGTACACGTGTCTGACATGTAGTACCCGCAAATGAAGCCAAGTGAGTGCTGATTTGGGGGAAAGACTGAGGCTGGCTAATGCATATCTTTTACATTTTTGCCATGCTTTAACCAATTAGGAAAAGCTGATAACAGAAACCTACAGCTCTTTTAAATCTCACGCCCTTTTAGTCATAATCACTCTAAAGTATCAAAAGCGCGCCCCGGAAAGTGGAACTAAGGGATGCTAATATTCAAAGGAGTGTTTTGTGTTGCAGCCTCTGAAATGTTGTGGATGTGTTCCAAGTGGTTCAAGTTTTGTAAAGGTCATTTTGCTATGTACATTAAGCTGGTACCCTACGAAAAGCAAATCTTATCATGTGTGGTTACATGGTGTCTTTATTCACGCAGGCAATGCGCTATTTGGTAAGATGTTCTGTGTGTGCAATATGGATACCTAGAACATACAATATCAATATATCGGAATATTGTGTATGAGACAAGGGTGGTTTGCCACACTCGCGTTTTCAGTGGCATAAATAATAAAGAATCATTGAAACCATTCTTCTTTTTGGCATTTTCATAGGCTTGCTGGCTGACATATACGATAGTGGAAATTTCGGCCTTTTACCTGTCATAATGAGGTCAATTATTAAATTAATGACACAAACTAATGCCAAACACAAGATCTCGTTAAGCAGAGGAAAGACGGCGAATCACGGCGACGGCGGTGGCACGAGACGGATCAGAACATTCGTGTTTTGTGGGAGACAAGCTAAGCTTTTTTACCTCTTCTGTTTATATGCGTTCTGTTCAAAGTTTAAAGCCAATTGCCTCGCGCTCAGATTCATGCGTCACAGCTTTTGCTGAAATGACTTCTCATTAGGTTTGTTTATTTTGCCTTAAGAGGGAAAATTCCTGGACCTGGTGACTTTTCTCGTTGGTTCATTCCTTTAAGCACACCGTTATCGAAATCGACGAAATAAAAAAGCGCTAGTAATCAGCAACTAGCAAAAATCCTCGTATTTTTCACCAAAAAGGAAGCTCAGGTCGCAAAAGTCT